GAAAGGTTTAAAAGCCTCCTCAGGCAAATATCTTGTTCAAAAGAAAATAATAAAGCCTCCTTAGGCAAAGATAAGTTTGAAATTAAGTCTTAAAAATAAAGGGACAATCCCCAATTTAAAGTGGACACAGCCACTACGGAGCAGCAGCCACCTCGGAATCCGGCTCAACAGTCGAAGCTTCATTCGCGTCCTTGGCAGCTGCTTGATCAGATGAAGCTCCTTGACCACCCTCCGCGGTACAACCAACCTCCGGAGTGACCTCCGATACCATAGGAGCTACGGGCGGGACAACGTCCTCCGCCTCACTTGAGCCTAGGAATAATAATTCCAGTCAATCAAAGGTGCAAGAAAAGGAAAGGTAATAAATATCAGGAGCCAAGCATTACCTGCCCAGTCTAGACCTGATTCGCTTATAGGAGGCGATTCGGTGAAGAATTCCTCGAAGTCCTGAGGGTTGAAGGTCGAAGTAGGAAGAGCTGCCAAGCGACTCCGCTTTTCAGAAAGATTAGCCGATAGTTCGGTTCTCTCTTGATCCTCGGAGAAATCTGCATCGTGGATTTGATCCAGCAGGATCAGGTTGCTCTCGTGCTCCTTGATGTCTGATTCTAAGTCAGACCTAGCCTTCTCGGTCTGCATGAATCGGATGGCCCCTTGGATCAACTCCATACCGCGTCCCTTGACCTCTTTTCTGGCTTTTGACGCCGACCTCGCCAACTCGGAGTCACGCAATTTGGCGATCGCCTTGTACTTCACGTTGAGCTCGATGAGTTGGTTGTTCAGGGAATCAGCGTTTGATTCGGACTCTTGAAGCCTACCTTGAATACCAGAAAACTCTTCCTGGAGTTTGAAGTTCTGGTCGTACTGACCCTGCAGCTCCCCCTTTATCTGCGCGAGCTCGGATGTTAAATTGTCGACTTTGTCCTCCAGATCGTGCTTGGAGCCAGCAGAGGAATTGAGTTCAGTCTCAAGAGCTGAGAATTTCTTCTTCCACATATCAATCTCCTTCTCCCGTCCAATGACCAACCCTTCGTAATGTTCGATCATGTCGTTAAGTTCGCTATGAGCATGGCATCATACATGAACCCGGGATGGCGAGTCAGTTCGCAGAATGGCAATACAATAAAAACAAAAAAAAAAGGGGGAAGAAAACGGAACTAACCCGAGATGAATGATAAGCGTGAAGCAAATAGCGTTCACGAATTGCAGGGCGCCATTTGTTGAAATCTGGCAAGATCGAACCCGAACGGGTCTTGAAGCATCGGAAGACGCTGCCTTCTGTCTCCATAGCTGCGAAGAAGGAAGAATTGTAAAAATTGGAATTTTAATAAAGACAAAAAGTTTAAGTGTGTGTAAATCACCAAACCTGAAAGCGATTTGACTTGAGGTACAAGAGCAGGCTTCAGCCTCGAGGGAGCATCTCGAGATTCAGAATCTCCCTTTTTCGGAGACGCGCTCCGGGCGGTCTTTCCACTGTCAGGCTGGGAAGAGGAGGACATGTCAACCGGTCGTGGAGGACCCATTGGTTCAGAAGGAGGGGATGACCGAGGTGAGCGGTCAGTCCGGGCCCTTGACTTTTCCCTCTGCGGGGAAGGATCACTGCGAGAGGACTTGTCTCTCTTTCGGCGAACCAAGTTCTTAATTGGCTCGTTACTAAAATCATCTCGGGGAGGACGAGGTGAATCACGGCGAGGAGATTGATCTCTCCGAGGAGAACGTGAGTCGCGGCGGTCGCGACGAGGAGTTAGTCTGAAGGAAGCAACAGATCGGGCTCCCTCGGTACTGCCATCATCAACCAGCAAGGTCCTACTATAGTCCTTCTTGTCTATAGAAGTCGCGAGAAACTTTTTCTTCTCCTCGCAAGCCTCAGGCATCGGCTTGGAGAGCTTCTTACGCTGG